AATTTTCAGTTCGGTTCAGATTTTTACCAGTTTACGGTTTAGTTCAGTTTCGGATTGGCCTATAATCCAGACCGAACCGAACCGTTCGGAGCATTAAAGTTTAACTAGTTGAATATTACAACCTTTATATTTTGATAACTTTAATATTTTTAATAAATATAGAAAGATTCTATAAGGGTTTAATAATTGAAATGATTGTATATAAGATACAGTAACATCACTTAGACTGTTCTTAAGCATCTCTCTTAATGGGTTTATTATTAACTAAAAAAGCAAAATGTGATGATCATTAAAGTCAAAAAAACCTGGAGCTACAGACCATCTTTTTTTTCATAGAGCTATCAAAAATGAAAAAAAATAGAGTATAAAATAAGATTGCTTATTCGCCTAATTCTTGCACTTTCCATTTTACACACATTACTCTATGAATCTTCAATGCTAATAAAAATTAATAATTATATTACTTTTATACTAAAAGCTATCATAAAAAATAAAAGACGTTAAGATATTCAAATGCAAAAATTCAATAATTTTCATCTTTTAACTATCTTTACTATAACAAATATAATTTTTTCAAGTGTTCTTTTTCTAATCAATATAAGATTACAATATCAGCCAAGACCTAAAACTGAAGGTTTTTGGACTAATATTTTTCTAAATTTAGTAGATGAAGAAGGTTATAATTCATTTAGACGTCATTTTTGTATAACTCTTACAACTTTTGTACTATTATAATCTGATTAGAAACCCATTAGGTCTTTATCTTAGACGCCTCTAATGCAATACCTGTATGAAAACAAATTGCTATTGTATTATGACGATTAGCAAATAGAACTGGAATATGAATATTAGAGCAAATACTCAGAATAAGCTAAAGATCTGTAAGTAATTTTACTGATCGATTTTTAGAAGCAATATTAGATTTAGAATAAGAACGAATTGCATAGTCTCAAGGATTACGTTTAGTAATAGTAATACAAGATTTAAATATGAAAAAACTGGTTTAGAAAATCGCAAACTTCCTAATGTTATTAGTGTAATAGACGAAGTACATATACCTATTCATAAACCTTCTGAGAATAATGCATGCTATGTTAATCAAAAAAATTTCACTCTATCAACCTTTTTAGAATTGTTGATCATCAGGGATATTTTATCTATATACATACTGATGAAGTAAGCTAGTTAAAATTTATTATTATTTATTTATTTTTTAATAATTAATTTATTATATGCTAATATTTTTTATCATCATAGGAAGTGTATATAATGCTAGAGTGTTTTATTGTTCTTCACTTTATTGTAAAATTTCATTGTATCCTGAACAATGGGTTTTAGGTAATACTTATATTATTGCAGATGCAGTATATTCTCTTTGAACATATTTAATGAAAGCATTTCCTAATTATTATATATTAACTACCTGAAAACGCTATTTTAATAAAACTCTTTCTTCAATGTGAATGATTATTGAATGAGCATTTGAATATTTAAAGGAAAGGTAGAGAATTTTATTAAAAGAAATTTATTGTATTATTATAGAATGAATTATTAAAATAATACATGCATGCTGTATTTACATAATATTTGTATTGATATGAGAGATTTATTATCTTCAGATAATGTTAATAGGAAAATGGATGATAATGTAGATGATGATAATGAATATTAAGCAGAAAATGAAAAAAGAAAAGAAATAGCAGGTTCTCAAAATAGAGAATATTTAGCAAATCTAATAAATTTATAATTATTTATTAATCTTTAATATTACAATAAAACTATTTGCATTAAATATTATTAACTGCTTTATAATTAAAATTTTATTAAAAACATTTTAAATATTTCCATTTGTTTATTATGCTGCTTTTGCTGAACTTCGGAAGTATGAGCATATTGTTCTTTCATAATTGCAGCAATAGTATCAGTTTGTTCTTTAATAAGAATTTGGATCTCTTTTATATTTGTTTTTTTTTTCTTTAAAACGTACTTTCTTTTGTTTTTGAAATCATTCTATTGAATTATAAATAACAATTTAATTAAATAAAAAAAATAAAAAATAAAATATTAAAATGTCACTAACTTCTTTATCTTGATCTTTAACATTCTTTTGTATTTTACACTTAATTCCATAAAGTGTGTCACTTGTAATTGATGCAACTATACTTGGATCTTTTCTTAAAAAGTTATCCATATCATTAAAAAATTCCCAGTCATTCTGAATAGCTTCTTCACCAGTGCTTTCAATTTTATCCTTAATGTCACAAAATTTTTGAAGAAGTGCATCCCATTTTTGTTGAATTGATGTCTTCATACATTCTTTTAAAGCTGGACTTGCCAAATCTAACCTTTGGATGTTTGTAATAATTCTATCCCAGATTTGGCCTTTTTCTCTTGAATCTTTGACATGTTGTAAAGCTTGCTATTGCTTTCCTACTTCTTCAATAAGCATTCGGGTTTCTGATGATGTCCATCTGTTTGTTAATTTAGGTGTATTAAAATTAACAAATGTAGAATTTGGTTGGATAAGACTTTGATTCACAGCTACAGAAAGTGATCGATTTTCTTGAATTTCATGGTAAGTAATAAGAGAAGGTTGCGAGGTTATCTATAAAAAAAACTTCGTTTATTATCTTTTATATAGTATAATTATAAAAGAATGAATTTTTACTGGATATCTTGCTGTTTCATGTAAAGGGTCCATATATGTTGGATATCTTGCTTCATTTAGTGTTAAAGAATCTATATTATTTGCTGTTTCATTTATTAAAGGGTCAGCGAAAGGTTGTGTAGTGGAATGTTTATGTTGTTGCAAGGATGAATTATTTGAACCATCATAAACTCGATAAAAAAAACAAGCGAGTGATAGAGATTACTCAAGAGTTGATCATCAATTGATTTCAATTGATTTTACTTGAGCATTACTTCAATCACTGGCCAATTATATTGAGGGATGCGCTAGAACGGCCTTAGTAATGTAATTGGGCTATCAATATAATCATTGCACAAATTACCAAATTTCTCTAATATAAACTGGACTGAATTATCATGTGATTTTAATGAAAACTCGTAAGATGATTGATACACAGGAACCAAACAATTAACTTTATTTAAAAATAAAATCATTTAGAGCTTCCGTTAAAAATTTTATTTTATTATATTGGACATAGAGATTTGAGAGGTCATATATATAGTAAGATTCCAAAATTTTGAAACACTAGCTAATATTATTTTTCGAAATTATATTTTTCTGTCATTTGTCACTTGCTCACTGATATTATTACTACAAACGGCTTTTTTACCTTTCTTATAACTACGCAACTTTTCGTTACTGGATTCTGCCATTTCTTGAAAGTTGTTGAAGTTTCTTATAGTGCTGCTTCCTTCCGCTATTGTCATCTCTGCTGAATGTTTTTTAGACTTGCTGCATATCGTGTAATCCAGCTTGCGACCTTTGCTATTTCAGAAACATCTTCAACTTGAATTTCACCCTCATTAGCAAGGTTTTGAAGTTGCTCTACCATATCCTTTGCTGTCATTCGATCTGTTTTGTTTATATTACCTGCCAAAAAGTAGCTCTCAAGGTAAGATTTCACTACTGTTGTTATCCGTCTTTCTGCTCCCCTTTTTCCATATTTCTGGTTGCTTTTTAACGCCCATCCTCTTTTCAATTCAAACATTTTATCTACAGCTATATTGAAGATAATAAAAGAATTATCAACAAATCATAACTAGAAAAAATATAATTTTATTATATTACTTAGATGAAAGTAGAAAATATACCAACTTAGATTCTAATAAAGGTAAGTAAATGATATCAAGTAAACAACCGTTTTGAATTTAACGACAAACTAATTAATTTTTTAATTTGATGGGTTATACTTCTAAAACTATTGATTTTGATATTTAATAATAAAAACTTATTATCTTTCGATAAAGTCATGTTTTAATTTATATACAAGTACATTTTAGATATAAGTTCCACGATTTAAAGAAAAGTTTGAAAGCTAGTACATTCGAAAGAAAGAAACTTAACTTCAAGAAAAAATCAAGTTCCAAGTATTTATGAATAATATTAATATAAGGATAACAATTCAGGCGGGTTTCTAAGATATTTAAAAATGAGGATATTAGGTGAACAAAACACATAACTCCTTAACTACGAAATGATCTGTTCGCTAATATAATTGTTTTATATTTTATATTTTTGATGTAATAAACATTCAAATTTATTTTTAAAAAAAATTCGTGCGCGCATAAGTTATTAGAAAATTAAATATTGCATAAAAATCAGAAATTTATAATTCATTATTATAACTTCGTTTATTTTTTTAATCCCGATTTTCTTATTATTTTATTATTCAATTTTTCGTAAAGTAGAATTTTATTGATTGATATTTAATATATTGACATTGCATTGCGAAAGTGTAGAGCGCCGACGTTGAGGCAACACTGATTAATTTTAAATAAATTTAACGTCGACATTACTTCATTTTTACTCAATATTTACTCAATAAATACCTCCCGCTTTACATTACAAATTGTTTATAAATATAAAAACGAAAGAACTATAGCGCTGATGAAAAATTTTGGTATCTTTTTATTGAAGTATTGTAATTAGAGTATCTAAATTTGTACTGTAATAATCGCTTGTATAGCAAGATGATGAATGAATTTGAATGATATGAGGTTCTACAATAAGAATAAAAAATCTTGGCATTGATTTTTTTTAAAAAAATTGCATGAAGCATTACCTGGTGCAGGTATACATCAAATAATCAAAATAAAATAATTAATTATAATTCATTCATATGGATATTCATTATAATTACATAATACATAAATGACTAACCAGATCACGATGCACGATTCCCTCATCATGCAAACATAAGACGGCACTAGTCAATTTACAAGAATTCAATTTATGATCCCAAGTAAGATCTTTGATTTTTTCTTTAAATGGCCTCGTAGGGTGCCATCATCAGCATATTCCATTACTAATAGATACATTTAAGTGTTTATTCTGATTTCCTAATAAAAAATTAAAACAAATATTATTTCATTAAATTGTCATTTTATAAATGATAAAATAATAATAATATTTAACAGTATTTCAAATCATGCCTGATTCAAGTTTCGTTATACCAAGGAAACGAATTATATTGTAGTGAAATCGACATCACGTTTAAGTTCGATCTTTAAAAAATCACAAATTTCAAACAAAAAATCAATAGAATATTACAAGGATCATACATATCATGAGCATCAATACATAAATAATTACCTCACGAACAATTTCTTTCTCGGTAGTATCATTGAAATCAAAAATGATTTCAATGCCAAGTATTGTTGTAAAATTTTCCAATTCGCACGATAAACTTTTCCAAACCCCCCGTTCCTAATCACTTGAATATTTCTAAAACGATTATATTCATATATTCATAATATTTAATATGCTTTTTAGTTATAGATTCTTCAATTCAATTAATTCATTCATTTGACATTTGTAGGCCGTATCTAAAAAAAAAAAAAAAAAATTGAAGAGAGAGAAATTTTACTCTTTGTGGGATATACAGTATGTATTTGAAATTAATCACTTTTGTCAAGTTAATTTTCGATCATGCATTTGGTGTAACATCTTTAATCAAAATTATCATTGCGAAAAAGTGTTGAACTAATTTTACGGTGAACCGTTTTGACCGCATTAATATTGACATGCAAATACAGAAATTGTGATTTCGATCATACAATACATGACTTTTAAATCCCAATTTGTACAATAAGCAATAGGAAACATAATAAACGGAAAAGGGAGGAAAGAAAAATTATTATTTAGAGAATTATTGTTTGAAGATGTTATTTTGTGTCGGAATAAACGTAATAAATTATTGCGAAGCTTGTCGATCCTTTATCAATTTAATATGTAGAGATTCGACTTTATTTTTTTACATTCAAATTTATATTTAAAATTAACGATGTAAGATAAAATTATTCCTTCAACTTCATATTTAAGGGCAACTTTAAATTTATTTCAAATTTCTATATATTAATTAGACAAAATTCAACCTCCTACTCGGAGATTGTGTCTATATTGTGTTGATTTGTTACGAATAATACTGTATATATGATTTATTTATAATTTAGCAAATATTAATATGGAATACAACTTTTACATGCTTGCGCTTAGCCAGAAATAGTACAAACTATAACCGTTTCTCCTAAACACCGCGTAGAGG